CTTCCTAACGGAGTGAAATGACCCGGAAGTCCCTCAGTGGCAGCCATGATAAGTGCCGTTCGAATTCTCTAGATGAAAGGAAAGGAGGTTTCAAACTTCCTTTATAACCTCCTTTAGCTTAGGAACCACTGGACCTCCCTAACCTAAAGGAGAGGAGAAAATGCTGCCCCACAATGCCTTGCGGCCGCGGCATTTGCCTTGCCGTCACACAACAGTCGGCCGTTCACGGAAACAACCGATTATGAACGAGAAATGATATCATGAAAGTTACGGTGCTTATTAAGCATTTTAAAACGTATGTGGTAAGTTGCCAAAGTGCTTTGTTTTGAACGTTCATCAGTATTATAATCAAAAAGAGAAATATGAACGTTAGTTTTTACTGAAATGATCAATTAAAGTCAACATTTCAGTCTTTACTGAGCTGTGTGGGGTTTGTTCAACTTTTAAAAGATGTTTGAATGGTGATATACACAGTGATAGATGTTAAGGACTAACGTTTATAATAAATACATTTGTATTGATTTTAAGATCTTTTCATACAATCATACGTATTGGGATCATTTGTATTAATGTGGACCGGAGGGAGAGGGTGACGAGCATAAGTTTCACTTTCCTTTTTTATTTCAATTCCAACTTTGGTCATGAAGAATATGTTTCTCTGTTGTCCCCGTTCATAAAGCATAACAGCATCAGAGCACGGTGCAGAGTCTCTAGATGAGTTTACAGTAGTCCCTCGTTCTTATTAAACATCCATGTTGTAGTCCGCTGTATAGAAAACTGTAGTTTCCATAGTTTCCCCACAGCAGCAGGCGCACATTCATGACCTCCGCCGGCGCATCATAAACACGTCGGATAGTGAAAGTGCAGTCGGATTCTCTAAAGCAGTGGTTCTCAAATGGGGGTACGTGGACCCCTAGGGGTACGTTGGATTTATTTTATGTTAATGAAAAAAAAACACAAGTAATACATTTAAACAAACTACTCATAGTAGATGAACTACTTTATTCAAAAGTTTACAGTAATTCTGGATAATAAAATGGGAAAAATAAACGGGGTGCTCTCTTTTCCTCTCTCTCTCCTGACAGCCCGTCAGTATCAGTTTCAAGCAGCTCACTGAACCTGTAATAAGTGACCCGACAGTAAAGAATACACATATTTATAATTAGTATAGCTAGTTCCAGAGTAGATAAAATAGCTAAGTGTGTTAGATCTTACTCTTAGTGTGTGTTTTGCTCTGCTCACCGGTCCGTCACAGCGGCGGAGCTGTGATCCGGTAGCTGCGTGTTCTCCGTCAGCAGCAGCTGATCCTGATCGATCTCTCTCTCTCTCGCGTACGGCCGGGTATAGCCTACTTCACTCGCGTTTATGTGATGTCCAAATGAATCCATCAGATCTAGCTAGTTTTTTGCTTCAAACATTCCACTATCGTTCCTGTCCCCAAAAAGACAATAATCACCTGCCCCAACGACTACCGCCCAGTAGCACTCACCTCCATCATAATGAAGTGCTTTGAGCGGTTAGTCAAATCCTTCATCACCTCCTCCCTCCCTGAATCTCTGGACCCCCTGCAGTTTGCCTACAGAGCAAACAGGTCCACAGACGACGCCATAGCCCTCACCCTCCACACTGCCCTCTCACACCTGGACCCGAAGAACAGGAACACATATGTGAGAATGCTGTTCATTGACTATACAGTTCAGCATTCAATACCATTGTGCCCTCCAAGCTGGCCATCAAGCTCAGAGACCTCAGGCTCAACAGCGCCCTCTGTGACTGGATCCTGAACTTCTTGACGGGCAGACCCCAGGCAGTGCGGGTGGGAAACATCACATCCTCCACCCTGATTCTCAACACCGGAGCCCCTCAAGGCTGTGTGCTCAGCCCTCTCCTCTACTCCCTGTTCACCCACGACTGCGTGGCCACACACAGCTCCAACACCATCGTGAAGTTTGCTAATGACACGACCGTCATCGGCCAGATCACAGACGATGACGAGACGGCGTACAGAGAGGAGGTTGAAAACCTGACATCTTGGTGCCATGATAACAACCTCCATCTCAACATCAGCAAAACAAAAGAGCTGATTGTGGATTACAGGAAGCAGCAGGGAGAGGGACACGCCCCCATCGCCATCAATGGGACTACGGTGGAGAGAGTCAAAAGCTTCAGGTTACTTGGGGTCCACATCACTGAGGACCTGACATGGACTCTTCACACCACCACCATCACCAAGAAAGCTCGACAGCGGCTCTTCTTCCTCCGCAGGTTGAGGAGGTTCAAAATGGATTCCAGGATACTCTGCAACTTCTACAGGTGCACGATAGAGAGTATCCTGACTGGCAGCATGACGGCCTGGTACGGCAGCTGCACCGACCTCGATCGTAAGGCTTTACAGAGGGTGGTGAAAACTGCACAGCACATCACCAGGACGGAGCTGCCATCCATGGAGGACCTTTACTCCCAGCGGCTCAGGAAGAAATCACTCAGGATTATCAAAGACCCCCATCACCCCAGCCACAAACTGTTCTTTCTGTTGCCGTCTGGCAGACGTTACCGCAGCATCCTGGCAAGGACAAGAAGATTCGGAGACAGTTGCTTCCCACGGGCAGTGAGACTGTTAAACAATTGAACTGTTGAAACAACTTCAAAACATTCATCTGCTACTCAGTAATATGTATCTAATATCTAATATATATCATTCCAATAACTTGTATATAGACTTGTACTGCATTATTCCACATGCTCACTTTATTTTATAACTATTTTTCTTTTTGTATTGCTCTTGCTCTTATTGTTATTATGTCATTATGTTGCATTGTTGGAGAAGCCTGTGACATAAGATTTTCAACTACATAATTACTCTGTAGCTATGTCAGATTGACAATAAAGAACCTTGAACCTTAATTCTAGTTCATTATATGACTGCCTGCTTATCAAAGGACACCTAAACAATAAGCGTTGCTTGGCAACGGGGTGTGGCCGCAAAGTATAGCTCAGCATTATCCATATAGGCTATGCTTATATGAGGGGTCAAAATCCCGTCTGGCGGTTATAGGTATAAATGCTCATATCTTTTTTTCTCTTCATTCCCCACGCCCCAAAATAAATAAATAAATATACCAATTTTAGGAAAAGTAACGAAGTTTGAGCAGTGTGGGTTTTATATTATAGATAATAGATTTACACATATCAAAACGCGAAGTGTAATAACTGCGGGTGCCTCCCTGTCACCGAGAATGACAAAGATCCTCAGTGAAGCACAAGCCCATGTTTCCCACTAAATTGTAAGTACAACTTATTAAAAAGATCAGTTCAACTAATGTTGTCTTAGTGTTATTGCATGATGTTAAAATTGGTTTGCCATGAATTTAGTGATGGATTGTAAACATTTGAAATGTAGCATTTAAGTGTTTCTCAATTACAAGGTTGTTGTTTTAATAAATCAGACACTGATGGTGCAGCACTGTAATGTACCTCTTTATAGGCATTTTGTCCCTAACAAATAGTTTTTGCGCTGATCAGGGGGTACTTGGCTGACTTTTTTTTTCAAAGGGGGTACATTATTGAAAATAGTTTGAGAACCACTGCTCTAAAGTACCGCAGTCTCTTCTCCTAAATCCTTTTGAATTCTCCTATCCACTATCCCTTAACCCCGTGACGTTTCACTCAGAGGTCAAGGAATAGACGATAGGGTTAGAACTTAGGAGCTGATTTTTGGACTATTCGACCGCAACCATACACACACCCTCCCGGTCCTCCCGATGGCCAGTCCGGGCCTGCCGGTGAGCGTGGAAGTGTGGTCTGCCACAAGCGGGCGGCAGGAGCGGGGCTGTCAGCATCAGCTTGTAGATGGTATTTTAAACTCGATGCGCTCTGAAACTACGGCCGAGGACAAAAAATACACATGCGTTAATCGAGTTAAAATAATTAGTGGCGTTAATTTTTTTTGCGTTAACGCGTTATTAACGCGTTAACTTGACAGCCCTAGTATTTACAGTATCACAATCGCGTATGTGGACAAATACAAAGTACAGTACCAATGTTTGACGTTATCAATATTTTCTCCAGTGCACCATGCTGTGTGAATTTGTTTATGTACTTTACTGACCTGATAAGGAACATACTCTAGAAGTCAATCTGTCTGTCAAAATGTGTTATTCAAACTGAGTCACTCTGTAGAATTGCACAATAGTACAATGGTGTGCTTTGAAATGGGCGAGTGGGAATGTGTGTGTGTGTGTGTGTGTGTGTGTGTGTGTGTGTGTGTGTGTGTGTGTGTGTGTGTGTGTGTGTGTGTGTGTGTGTGTGTGTGTGTGTGTGTGTGTGTGTGTGTGTGTGTGACAGCCTGGCTCATAGGCTGCAACAAAGATGGGAGACCAGACACGTTAAGTGTAACAAAAAGCGTATTTATTTACTATAACAAAAACCAAAGGATCTCTGCATTGATTTTATTTAAGATGATACTCTTTTTCACAAGAAGTGCACATGGCATATTATCCTACATATTGCTATTATTTACGGGGATTTTCTACCTTATATTTTCACACACATGTAAGCATTGGGTCGAGAGGTCATGTGTTGTGAGCATGCGCAGTCTGTCCTGGAGTGGTGGGAGAGAGTGTGGTGTGACCGACGCTAAATAAACGGAGGCGCTATCTGTGACGCTCCAAAAAGTACTACGTTTCTGAGTTTTTGTTACACAGCAGTATTCTTGAAGCCTTAACACCTCGGACGTTACACACACGTTAATTATCCTCAGCAATTAATGTTCACATGTAGTCTGCTAAATAATACACATGCAAGGAAATTGTAAATGTGTTATAGTAGATGGTTTGCAGCCGAGAGCCAACGTTTCAATCATTGCATTATCGTGACAACGTTGCATCAGAGTTGAATTCTGTTAAATAAAAGAAACCACGCCCACTAACAAGAAATACCAGATTGGTTGACCATTTGCGGGTAAATGAAACTGAATCTTGTGAAACGCTCAGTGGTACTCAAACAGTGACTAATCAAAATCGTACAAAGGAGTGTCTGTGAGGAGAAGTGTTTAAACTTCTGCACGTAGCCGCTTTCTGCACTCTGCATCTCTCTGGGATCAGGACGAGCAACATGACGCAAATAGGTAAGAACACACTGATTTGTAACATCATTTTGTATATTTAAAACATGTTAACAAATAGAAAAAGGGCACTTACACATTGGAAATACCCATTATTTTGTATTTTACAATGCAAGGTTTAATTATTTAACTAACACTGATGCCATTAAGGAAAAGAAATAGGAACATAAAGTAGCTGTTATGGCATTAGCATGACAGACAATTAAAGAATAAATACACTTTTGATGTAATTGAACATTGAATAGTAGTTTATTTTTGATAATAATTGTTATTTTTTTGTCTAAAAAGCATTCAAAGATAAGCAAGAAGAACAATTTAACTTGTATTTATTCATATATTAAAACAAATATTGTTGTGATATTTTTCTGTATGTCTGATGTCTTTGAAACTCATGCAGGGTTATAAAACTTTATTTAAAAAAACAGCAGGAGCCGTACAACTATTACAATTGAGGCAGTATGTTGCACACTAAGAAAAACCTGCATAGAAAATGATCAAAGATGTGCATAGCAAGGACGTGATAGATATCTAAAATAACCCAAAATTGCAGGCACTCTTCTCTTGAAAAAGCAAAATTATTCTTGTGGACGAATTAAAGCAATGCATGCCAGAGTTTTGCACGATTGATACAAATCCTGTGTGTTTGTTTACAGACACTAACATGGCCCTCACACTTGAGGAGCAGTTCAAGTGCTGCATCTGTCTGGACATCTACACCAACCCCGCCTCCATCCCATGTGGACACAACTTCTGCCTGGACTGCATCGAAGACTTCTGGGACACGAAGGACAAACCTGACTGTCCGCTGTGCAAGGAGACGTTCAGCACGCGTCCACAGCTCAGGATCAACAGAGGATACGCTGAAATCATTAAATTCTTACATAGGTTTGTGATAAATATTTTTTTGGAAAGCAAACCATGAAATTGAAGTCATTGAAGTGACTGTTATTTTGTATATATTGATTGTTGTGCTTTTAGTTATGTCTTAATGTGTGCATATGTACTGTTAATTGTGTATGTATACATATTTTGATATATATTTGTATTTTTTTGTATTCGGGATTATGGGAAACGGTATTTCGATCTCTCTGTCTGTTGACAATAAAGTTGACTTTGACTTTGAAATGTTTTAGTATTTGGATTTAACAGTTTTTCTTTCAAATCCAAAGGCCACAGAAGGAGGATGAAGACGCTGCTATGACACCAGAAAGCACGAAACAATCCCTAAACCCACTTTCCGAGGCCGGCGAAATCCCATGTGACATCTGCCAAGAAGACAAGTCGCCATCGGTGAAGTCGTGCAACACTTGCCAGGTTTCTTACTGTGACGTTCACTTGGCTCCACACCTGAGAGACCCACTGTTACAGAGGCACCGGCTGAAGGACCCCACCCTCTTCTCCTCGAGTCATCTCTGCAGGATCCACAAGCAGCCGCTGACCAAGTTCTGCACCAAAGACCAGGCCCCCGTTTGTGATAAATGCACCGAGAAGGAGCACAAACACCACCAGACCGTGTGCATGGAGCAGGAGCACAAGAGGGTCAAGGTGAGGACACCTAATGACCATCTTCCTTTAAAACTAAAAATACTTTCCACCTGCTTTCTGTGGAGGACATTATTGAGAGAAACTGATAAATGATTCATGGACAAAGTCTGTCTTTTGTTATATTTAATAAAGTAGTATTAAACCATTAAACCCCCCTCGTCCTTAAACCATTTGCAAATCTCTTTTACCCCCCGTGAAATGTCAGTCCTTAACATATGTCTGTTACACATACAAGACTAAAAATACAATTTAACAGTGTAAAAGGCAATCAGATTATAAGACTATATGTTTTAAATGATTATATGATCATTTGACATGACACTTCCCTCTATGTTTTTGTAATTCTTTAGCAATATTTTAACAGATAGTGCCTTGAATCCCTTCTCTGCAAAAAGTGTAACACTCCTTGACATTTTGCAGACTTGTTTGGAGGACACAGAGTCCAGCATCGAACAGATGATCCACGCCAGACAGAGAAAAATGGAAGAGATAACACAATCAGGGCATCTAAGCAAAGTAAGTCTGGATTCATGTTCATTAGGGTCAGGTTGGTCTGCTTTTTACGGTACATTTACACGTTGCTATTGTCGTAGATCCGAAATCTTAACACTCAGAGGAGAATAAAGTATAACACAAAGGAAACATTTAGACACAGATGTGGTTGAATTTAAATGTCATATTGCTGTATAAGGAACAGATTACCTTGCATCAAGTTAGTCAAGAGTACATGTCCAAAGATGAGAAGAATCACACAGATTTTATACACCTCTTTTTGGTTTACACAACACTATACCTTAGACCAGGGGTTCCCAACCCCCGGTACCGGGCCGCGGAGGTGTTACTTCCGGGCCGCGAAATAGCTGTGAGTTTATCGTAATATTTGCAGAATTATAAATATATAAAAATATTTTATCATAATATTTTTTTCAAAAAGTATTTAATTTTCGCACCTATGCCACCAGTCATATTATTTCATCCAGTAGCTAGTTCATCTTTCACCAGAAAACCGTTGAAAATTGCTTTTATGATGTTCCGAGGGATTCGGCGGCTCAGCCTAAGGTCTCAGCCTCTTGTGCGCACGAGCATGTTACCGGTGCGCCAAGTAGGAAGAGGAGCGCACAGGAGACAACCCGGCCAGGGGTGTAAAGCTATTTGTTTAAGCACCGGATTGGCAAAACAGGAGAGTAAACCAGTCTGCCTTGATCTATGAATTAATGTCCGGGACTCTCACGATCTGCTGCCCGCAGCTGTTTTATAGAAGGAAACCCTCCTTCATGAGATGGCTGCAGCATCAGGAGGCAGCGGGACGTATACTCGGTAAAGAGCTGTGCCTTTTTACGCACCGCCTTCGCTGTGTTTAACTTAATCAGAACAGTTTAAGAGTGACTGCAGGCTGCTCCGTGTTAACCACACACACATCTACACACATCGAACTGCCCGATTACTCCCCCTTTTATTAGTTTTATGAAGGAGATGTCCAGTCAGTCACCAAGGCGCATGATGTGTGTGTGTATGTGCTCTGCTCAGCTCAGCTCTGTGTGTTCGGTGTGTGTGTGTCTGTCCGACACCGGCATATATGCGGCTGTTCCCAAAATAAATTAGTTTAATCTTAATCTCGATGTAGTGCTAAATGCTGTCGGGAGTGCACCGGAACGAACGACATTTTCCCAGCATTCACTGGATTATCCGTAAATCATACAAACAAAACCAAAACGTTGATTTATCTGTTTTCCCGTTTTGGTTTAAAAACTGAATAACGTCGGTTTTTTGGTTTTCCGAAAAACCAAAAAACAACACCGGTTATTTTTTAAACTTTGTTAATATGTTTTGGATGCATATTGTTCTAGTATTTGTTCAGGCTGTTACATACAATTAGCCTCTGTTGCTACCTGCTGGTGGTGAGTAAATATTAAAATCAGTTAAAATTGACAACCGGGTTGCGTTCGAATACTCCAAAAAAACAGCTCCTAAATTCTAACCCTATCGTCTATTCCTTGACCTCGGAGTGAAACGTCATGGGGTTAAGGGATAGTGGATAGGAGAATTCAAAAGGATTTAGGAGAAGAGACTGCGGCACTTTAGAGAATCCGACTGCACTTTCACTATCCGACGTGTTTATGATGCGCCAGCAGAGGTCATAAATGTGCGCCTGCTGCTGTGGGGAAACTATGGAAACTACAGTTTTCTATACAGCGGACTACAACATGGATGTTTAATAAGAACGAGGGACTACTGTAAACTCATCTAGAGACTCTGCACCGTGCTCTGATGCTGTTGTTTTATGCTTTATGAACGGGGACAACAGAGAAACATATTCTTCATGACCAAAGTTGAAATTGAAATAAAAAAAGGAAAGTGAAACTTATGCTCGTCACCCTCTCCCTCCGGTCCACATTAATACAAATGATCCCAATACATATGATTGTATGAAAAGATCTTAAAATCAATACAAATGTATTTATTATAAACGTTAGTCCTTAACATCTATCACTGTGTATATCACCATTCAAACATCTTTTACAAGTTGAACAAACCCCACACAGCTCAGTAAAGACTGTGAAATGAAAATTGACTTTATTTGATCATTTCAGTAAAAACTAACGTTCATATTTCTCTTTTTGATTATAATACTGATGAACGTTCAAAACAAAGCACTTTGGCAACTTACCACATACGTTTTAAAATGCTTAATAAGCACCGTAACTTTCATGATATAATTTCTCGTTCATAATCGGTTGTTTCCGTGAACGGCCGACTGTTGTGTGACGGCAAATGCTGCGGCCGCAAGGCATTGTGGGGCAGCATTTTCTCCTCTCCTTTCGGTTAGGGAGGTCCAGTGGTTCCTAGGCTAAAGGAGGTTATAAAGGAAGTTTGAAACCTCCTTTCCTTTTAATTTAGAGAATTCGAACGGCACTTATCATGGCTGCCACTGAGGGACTTCCGGGTCATTTCACTCCGTTAGGAAGGTTCCTAAGCTAAATGGACTATTCGAATGCAACCCTGGTCCGCGATTTTTTTTTAATGTATCTACCGGTCCTTGGCACAATAAAGGTTGGGAACCCCTGCCTTAGACCTTTCACAATCACATGTTACAAAACCCTATGCTCAATAACACGTTGCAAACAGACATGTGTACATTCATGGTACAAATTGGGTGACCAGGTGCGGACAAGCGACATGTGGGACAAATAGGACGTTTTTGTGGGACAATGCGGGACATGTTACTGCTTTGCTAAGAGCTAGATTAGATGTATATAATATAACGTCTATCTAACCCTTAAGAATAAACATTTCTATTAAACTATTAGCTTATAAATATTAATAATAACGCTTTACTTTGGTTTAATGTTTGCACAAACTATGGAAGTGAAGGAATTAATTATACTTGTTTTGAATGGAATTAACATAACAAATTATTATGACCAGAAAATAATTACCGAAACTAGTTTACTGCCAGTCTGCTGAACTGTGTGCTAAACGTTAATTAAATCAGCTGCTGTTACCTCATCTCTTTTGGTTTCAGGAGGAATGTATCCATAGATCGATATTTTCCTCATAAGCCAGGCGTTTCTTGTGAGTTTCGGTGAAGCGTCGCTTCAAAACATATTCACCTCGGTGTGCAATTTAAAAAAGATTCTGGCAAATCTGACAATAACTCTCTGGGAATTGCCCTGCACCGTCTACCATAAGTTAATACATTTCACTGTTGATTGATTGACATCTGACACAGCTAATGGTGATGATAGTCCTCTCGTTTTCTACACACCTTTGTATAAAAGCCTTGTTTAAGACGGGCGACTGTCAATCAAATGCGGGACATCGGCTAAATGTGGGACAAATGATCAAAATGCTGTGCAGTCCCACACAAAGCGGGACACCTGGTCGCCCTAGTTACAAAGGTCTTATTTAATCACACTGAAGGATGAACAAACTTGCATAGCTTGCAAACCATGATCATATAATATATATTCTTTCTACACTTATCATTTCAATTGACAGAATATCACAGAGTGGGAGAAACAGAGCAGTTCTCAGGTCTGCAGCATGATGATAGCCGTCATCCAGAAACACCAAGCTGGGCTGGAGGAAGAGCTGGAAGAAAAGCAACAAGAAGCCGAAAAGAGAGCCGACGAGTTGATCAAAGAGCTGGGGACGGAGATAAAAGATCTGCAGGCGAAAAGTGAAGATCTGCAGAGGCTGGGTCGCTCTCAGAGCCCTCTCTACCTCCTGCAGGTTAGATACCTCAACTCATTTTACATGTGCAGCGGTAACATTTCACGAATCCGTATACAGAATACAGATTACATATTACTGCTTAATTTACTGAAAATGTCAAGTTAACAGGTCTCTATCAACATAACTGCACCCTAACACAAGCTGAAAATAGGGTGATGCTGTAATTCTAGTCAAATGAAAGTCTCATATGAAGATTTAGCATTTATTATGTTGTTAAATCTTGTCTACAAAACAAGATGTAAAAATGGCATATCTTCGTTTTGAAGGGGAATTATGTGCTGGAATATTAAATGGCCAAGATAAATCATGAAGTCTTGTCATAGGTAGAGAATTTCAGATTTTGGACAGAAAAATCGCAGTTTCCAGTCATCATGCTAAACTAAGCTAACTAGCTGCTAGCTGTAGCTTAATTGTTATCACACACAGTTAGCCCAAAGTTGAGTCCCTCATGAGATATTGTTAGATTTAATTCAAAAGGCTTAGCTAGGGTTATCGCTGTGTATTCATTTTATGTTATCGTTAATGCTTATTCAAAAGAGGTGCAAACTGGGGCCAATCCTTTTATTGAAAATTAGACTAAAGCTATCAGACGGTTAGCCTAGCATTACAAGTGAAAACAGGGTAAACATTATCTGTAATAGCTTATCTAAACACAGAGGTGGGAAGTAGTGGAGTACAAATACTAAGTACATTTTTCTGCTATCAGTACTTTACTCCACTACTTCTTTTTCTGACGACTTTTTACTTTGACTTCTTACATTTTGAACATACTTTCTTTAGTTTTAATCTGTGTTTGGTGGCGTGAACATTATTATTTAGAGTCATTGCGTGCCTATTGATTTTTACCATGGATGTATAATACAACCCAGTTTCACGGCATTTCGTGTTATAGTCACGAAATTAATCTATTGATTGACCAACACGATTTTCCCATTCTTTTCGTGTCACACAGAACGAGTTTAAAGGCAATGTAAATAATAACAAATTAGAAGAAAAAAAAGATTTAAAAAAATACAGATTTCAGTATTCTGAGGCTCTGAGCCCCATTTATTTTCCTCACGGACGGCAAGAAAAGTCAGACATTATACAATTTAAAATAAAAACAATAATCGTGGCTTGATATTGAGTAAGAAAATGTTTTTATGAACCACACAGCTTCTGGTCTTCCAAGACCCTACCGGACAAAAAGACGTGGTGCAGGCACGAAACACACTACTGATAGAAATACATTGCTTTTAAAGTCGTTCTGTGTGACACGGAAAAAAGGGGAAAATCGTGTTGGTGAACACGAATCAATAGATTAAATTAATTTCGTGACTATAACACGAAATGCCATGAGACTGGGTTGCATAATAAGAACTGGATACAGCGTCGGAGGCGGGGTCTCATTCTTTCCTATGAGAGCTGCTCATTGGCGCATGAAGGCAAAATGGCCCAACTTTTGAGAGAGCGAAACGTCAGAGATTACCCGTCATGCCTGGCTGTCAGAGCAGAAGAACCCGTATGTGCGCTCATAGAGCATGCACAGTTGAGTTGCCCCTTAAGCCCCGCCCCCCGAGCGCCCACTCTCGGCTCACTAGAATGAATGAGAGAAAATAAATCTAGATTCGGCTTTTAGTGCATTTTACAACTTTAATGACCGAATGATTCTAATAAGGGCTATAAAATAGTTCATACTGGGTAGTTTATTTAGTTAAAAAAAAATTATCCACCGATTTACAGACGTCTCTTTCCCCATGTTAGTCAATGGGAAAAAATATTTTTGAGCCGGGTAACGTCATGGACTGATACGGAAGTTGCAGTACCGCCGTTTGGACACAACGAATTTTGGGCACAGAGTCCAGAGCACTTCCTGGGGGGCTTGATTTGAACACGATCCGTGTATCCATCATTTCCTGGTCTTCTCTAAAGAAGATCGACCAATGAAAACGTTGTCATGTTGCCGTTGTTCAGCATCGAAACATTCATTAATATAAAGGGAGGTCAGGTACTCTTTAAAACAGCTGGTAGTTATGGGTACTTTTTACTTAAGTACATTTCGAAGCCCATACTTCTTTACTTTTACTTGAGTAAATAAGTTTAGTCGTACTTCTACTTTTACCAGAGTATTTTTAAACAAGAGTATCTGTACTTCTACTTGAGTACAGGATCTGTGTACTGACAAACCCATCTGTCCTTCGTCATTTTAGAGTTTCCCGTCTGCAAGTCTACTCCCACCCACCAGAGAGTGGTCTGAGGTGATTTTTCACTCAGATAACTGCATGGGGACGATGACAAGAGCCGTGACCAAGCTTATGGACGTCTGCAAGGAACTGGCGAAAAAACTGTCTGCAGAAGGTCCGTAAAATGTTGTCAGGAAATTCATATCTTCTTCACAAAATGACCAACATTTTTTGTGAAAATGTAACCTTCGTCTTCTTTGTTTTTGCAGAAGCAGACAAGATGAATCAGTACGCAGGTATGTTCACTGTTACGCCTCCATTTTTCGTTTCATCACCTTAATTGAAGCGTGATAAGTTCACCTTGTTCACTCATTGTATTCTTCTTTGTTTCGGCAGTTGATGTCACTCTCGATCCTGAGACTGCTTCAGGCTGGCTGGTCCTGTCTCCAGACAAAAAGAAGGTACTGTCAGATTTGATGAGGTTCAGTTAAATGTTTAGAGAGCAAAGTCTTCCTATGAAAACTCACGGTTCTTTAGAATAGGTAGGATCTCAGACATTTCAGGTAATGTGAGGGTGGGGTTTCAAAACAGCATGAGAAAACCAGGTGCAAAGGGTCTCAATATGATGGTTTTTTAGGACTATGGTAAGGCTATTTTTGCTAGCGATGGTAACAATGATTGTGTTGATCCACAGGCGAGCGTCATCAAGCAGAGGAAGAACACCCCAGACAATCCTCAGCGTTTTAACCTCTGCGTCAGTGTTTTGGGGGAACAAAGCTTCACATCGGGAAGACGCTACTGGGTTGTCCAGGTGAGAAAACACGAAAAAACGCCTTAAGATCACAGTGTACAAAGTTTAGGCATGAGTATGGTACAGGTTTTTTCTGATCATATTTTCTGTACTTTGTGTTTCAGGTTGCAGATAAATCAGAGTGGGATCTTGGAGTGGCGAGGGAGTCCATCAACAGAAAGGGGACCATCACGGTTCGTCCTGACACCGGTTACTGGGCGATCTCTCTGCGAAAAGGCAGTGATTTCAAAGCCTGTGCCGGACCCTCGGTCGCCCTGCACCTTCAGGAAACTCCCCGGAAGGTGGGCGTCTTCCTGGACTACGAGGAAGGGTCGGTGTCCTTCTACGACGCAGACGCAAAGACCCACATTTACACTTTCAGCGAGTGTGACTTCACAGAGCCCCTGTACCCCTACTTTAACCCGTGTCTTCAAAATGAAGGGAAGAACATAGCCCCGTTGATCATCTGTCCTGTGGAAGCTGTTGAAGGAATAGTCAGGGAAGACATTACCATTGAGACAGCTTTATGAGGTGTTATAGGAAAGGATGATAGTAAGTGATGTCAAGAAATTAGGTTTACATATATATATTATATATGATTCTTTGTACTGTAATAGTATTTAACAGTAGCCTGCAACAGGCCAACAATTATTGAGTTTTTATTTTTGTATATACTTTTACAGCCTCAACGATGGCAGCGTGGTTTCTCACAATTTCTTACATAATTAATTGTTTTCTTTTCATAGTTTATCATTTTGTATCGTGTAAATGTTACCAGACAATTTATTTTGATTTAAATATTGTTGCATGAACTGAGAAACATTATCCCATAGACAAAATGGGAAATAACATCTTGAGACACAAATTGTGAAATCCGAAAATAAATGTCGCAAATCAAAAACTGTGAAATTGTGTCATTTTGCAAATTGTCCATTCAAGTGAAATGTATTGAAAAATATGTTAAATCATTCTAAGACAAATGGCTGACGTCCCAGTGATGTAGTGTGTTCAGTGGCTTGATACCAATCACAAAATAATGAAATCGCCAATCGTTACAGATGATAATCAGCTGTCTAATGGCGCGTTTCCACTACAGCGCGGAGCATGGTTTAAGAGGGCTGTGACGTCAGCGGCCCGTCTTTGGTTGCGTTTCCACTTGGCCTAGTACCGGCCGGCGGGTCCTAATTCACAGTTTTTCTGGCCTCATAAAATCGCGGGTCTAGGGCCAGAGACAACGAGGCTGAGTCGGGCTGAGTATGCTAAACTAGAGAGAGCGTCGCTGGCAAGGAGGCTACAACTACAACAAGATGGACATATTTGACCGTGATTTAATTGTAATACACGTTTCAAAATGATGCCGAAGTAACAACATACTGATACCGGTTAGTAAAAACCATGAATTAATGCTTTGTCAAGTCTGCAGACAGACGGCAGGCGAAAAACGTTTTAAAATGCGTGTTTTCTGAATGGAGATTGGCTAAGCTAACGCAGTATATGCTCCGACCGTCCACACTCACAACAACGGCCTATACAGACATAAATAAAGCAGCGACTGTATTCGCCATGACACAGGCAGTCTGTGGTTTGTACTTGTTTAACTTTGGTCTAGTTTCTGAACAGATATGAGGAGCTGTGAGCTCTGAGTGCTAACAGCTAATGGCTGTGTTGTTTTTCTGGGGTTCTCATTGAAGATCACGTCACGGCTCCGCCTACACTGCGTTACTATAGATACTGCCCTAGTTCCTAAACTGTAATGGAAATGCGCCATAAAGTGAGCCAGTCCTAACGAGGCCTAGCCATACCGAGCGAGGCCGTGTAGTGGAAACGCGCCATAAGACCCAGAATTCTGCATTTCTAGATCCAAATCCTTTTCCCCAAATAAACAATGTCAAATCCGACTAGTTTAATTGGCCCTCAGACTCGATATATCTTTTGGTTTCTGTTTCATTTCCAAACCTGTGTCAATACTACAAATTGGTTATGCCATAGATTAGGTTAATGTTGTTTGTTTGGAAGTATATAAACAACATTTCTAAGAGACCAGTTTGGGTATTCACAAAGCAATTGGTTAATATTAGCAAGAACCATCATTTACATATCATACAACCAATACAAACCAATCCTTTGCATACAGTTTGGGTTATTTCTTGCTGTTCGAACTTAACCTGTTAAGCCCGGCAGCCCCCGCCCCCGACCGAGGGGGGCCAGAGATATGGAAAATCCACCCAAATGACCCCAGAAGTGGTTTTATTTTTCTAAACCTCTCTAAAAAGGTCAAATGTCACTTGTTTTGCATCAATCTTGATACAGGGTACTTATTATATGTTATAGTTTGGATTCCTAAAGCTTTTAGTCTACTAACCCATCATCCAAGGGTGGTTTTCTGACTCTTCTACATCCAACTCACAGGTTTATCATTGCTTTGAGAAAAAATATTATTAATTTACCCCTTTTAGAAGTGAAGTTATAGTCATTTGTTCTGGGAATGTCATTTTACGAGCCTGAGACCTGAAACACAGGCTCAGGGCTTAACAGGTTAAGGGTCAATATGCCTCCTCTTTCCCCCCAAAGAAAGGGTATACAGCAGGGTTATTTACATCCTTTCCACCATCCATTCTGTGAGTTGTGAGGGGAAAGAGAGGAGGAGGAGGGAGGGGAAACAAGTACAGTAGGAGGTCGAGGAGCTGTGAAAACAGAAGGACAGTGAGGCTCATGATATGATTAAACGTCTGCTCGAACACAGGGGTTTCCTGGAAGAGAGAGAGAGGAGGAGATGGGGAAAGAGGGAAGAGGTAGAGGAAACGATAAAGGGAACAGGGAACAAGGCTCTTGGGATGCTTTAACTTTACTGAACATCGCTGGGTTATTTTTGTCGCTGCAGAGTCAACGCTTAGAGTGAAAGGTGGGTGTTTTGTCCATCTTACTATTTTTCTCAAACTATAATATAATGTGTGCATGCATGTTGAAAAGGTTGTTATTGTGGAAATGCTTACATCAGAATCAGAAGAATCAGAAACAGGTTTATCACCAGGTAGGTTAACATATACGAGCAATTTGACTTGGTGTTGATAAAATTAAAATAAAATAAATTAAAAACACAGATAGAAAACTATTTGACTATAATAACATTAAAAAATTGTAAAAATGTAGTAAAATATAGCAGTATTTACATTGAATATGATTGAAATCGTATAAATAAAATTGGAATAAAACAGCACTTATCGTAACAAAAAACGCTTAGTCTTTAAACAAATTTCTCGTTATACATTTTGAGTCTTTGACTACCACGATATATATATATATAATGATTACTCTTTCCTGCAGTGCATGAAGCTCTGTGATTTATTATCTGATCATCAACACTCACCAAACGCTATATTGTTCTATTCTTAGTGAGATCATGGGGGTTTGTTTAAAATAATGCATATATTGGGATTATTCGCAAGGTGGAGGTGGAGAAAGAGTGGTAATGTTTACCCACAGATGGCCTCTCTGGGTGGGATTGTGAAAGCCCGCTGCACCCCCCCCCCCCCCTGTGTCCAGCTGGCACTCACAAGGCTTCTTCCTGCCCAAAACATTACCTCATAATTTGTTCTTCTACTTATTTTCCTCTTCTGCGCAATGATTGTTTTCCCCTAGCCACAGTATGCCCTACCATTCCTTTACTTGATTTGAATTGTGTCACTTTTTATTTTATTATATTTTTTATTATATTATAACATTTATTTTTAAACCTTTTTATGCATGCTTCTTCGTAACATTAAGCTGTCTTTGGCTCTTTTTCTGCTGTAACAACGTACATTTCCCCTCTGTGGGACTAATGAATGTGTTCTGATTCTGATCTCATGTTTTACGTCAGAGAAAACAAACACACCTTCTGGATAAGACAAACAATCATTGCTGTACAAAGAACTTGCAGTCAAGCGTTTCAATTTACGTCAACATGACACAGTTGTTGGATTTTAAGAGTATTCATTACCTAATTCTTTTTAATTCATTTTTAATTCAATTAGATTGGAGGAAAAGTGTACTTTAAATGGTATTTTAACCAGAATATACAGTGTGCAGGAAGTGACATTGGCACTATCTCATACACCCGTAACATAGAAAAGCTTCTCAAGTAGCCAAGCACCTGTCATGTGCTGTTGTTACAGCACATGACAGGTGACATGACTGTTGTTACTGTACAGAAAATAATTGTGCGATGTTGCGTCTACTCCTTCAAACAGGCCTGAAGTCTCAACAGCCTCCAAACCAGTTTATTTGGCTGATGTCCATTTTTGATGCGATGTAAAGAACTGGATTACTTTCAACTATTCTTATCCGGATTTTCTTCTATGTGCTGTTATGGGCATCCGCCATCTCACCAGCTCTTAGACATCTTACAAGAGAGACTGCATTCCCACCCGTTGTTTTCAGAGCGGTTACGTGAGGATTCTTGTCCTATGGGATGCGAGAAATCTTTGGTTTCAAGTCTTTCAAGGTGAAATTATGATCCTGTTGCTACAGTGAGTTGTTCTTTGATAAGACACTCAAGATTGTGGCAGCCATATTGTCACTGAGCCCCGTAAAAGAAAAAAACCCACATATTTGGAACAATGCCCTTTCTATTTTTGCCCTTTTTGCCCTACCTTGCCCCCCGCTCAGTCATTTTCATTGGACTGCTGCTTCTGGTCAATTGGGTGCCCGAAAAGGTAAACTGCCAGAATGACACAGAGCCAATGATATTGGAGGGAAAGTGTCTGGTGGTGTGCGACTCCACGCCGTCTGCGGAGCCGTCGGGGAACGCTTTGGGCATGTCGGTGAGGTCAGGAAGCGGCAGGGTTGCGTTTTCCGCCATTCGAAACACCAACCATGAACCCTCGGAGATGAGCAACCGCACCATGACCATCTACTTTGATCAGGTGGGATTCTATACTCTACATGATTCCAAACATTGTCGTTTTTAAAGGTCCCCTATTATACTGTTTTTCATCAATACATTATAGGTCTCAGATTTATACAAAACATGTCTCTGAAGTGTTTGGCTCCAAACACCAAACAGATCATTGCAGCATTACCCATAATCCCCTCTGTTTCAGCCCTGTTTCAAAAGAGCTGATTCTCTGTCTGTTACTTTAGATGAAAATAAGGAGCCCCTCCCCACGCCCCTCTGAGAGATATTTGGTTAAAAAGAACTCAATGGTGCTCTAGGAGGAGATTCAGGTGATAAGGTGGGGGGGGGGGTTACCTTGGTTGGTGATTGGTTAATGGTTACACAAGCCAAAAAACGTTATGACATCACAAAGTGGCCAAAATCTGATCAGCTCATTTTCAGACAGGTTTTTATAGAAATGGATCAGGACAAAAAGAGAGAGAATCTTTGTTCCGGAAACTTTCAGAGTCTCTTTACACAGAGGGGACACATGTTGATGTAGAAGAGACATGAAGAAGAGGGGACACGTGTTGATGTAGAAGAGACATGAAGAAGAGGGGACACATGTTGATGTAGAAGAGACATGAAGAAGAGGGTACACATGTTGATGTAGAAGAGACATGAAGAAGAGGGGACACATGTTGATGTAGAAGAGACATGAAGAAGAGGGGACACATGTTGATGAAGAAGAGACATGAAGAAGAGGGGACACATGTTGATGTAGAAGAGACATGGAGAAGAGGGGACACATGTTGATGAAGAAGAGGGGACACATGTTGATGAAGAAGAGACATGGAGAAGAGGGGACACATGTTGATGTAGAAGAGACATGGAGAAGAGGGGACACATGTTGATGTAGAAGAGACATGAAGAAGAGGGGACACATGTTGATGAAGAAGAGACATGAAGAAGAGGGGACACATGTTGATGTAGAAGAGACATGAAGAAGAGGGGACACATGTTGATGTAGAAGAGACATGAAGAAGAGGGGACA